TCTTGTAAATTCTCTATCTCAAGTCTAATAGATGCATAATAAGTATCTATCATCAACATAATATCGTCAGTATTAATATCACTCGTGTACAAATATTCTAAAACACTCTTCATTTCTTTAGATTCAATGTCTTCAAATTCTATTTGATTATTACGTTTATCATAATATCCTTTATCAATTATAAAATAAAAATATTTACTACGGCTTGCTAAAATTGCTTTCGACGTGTAAAGTATTATCCCATCTTGACACTTGATAGTCACATCATTAAATTTGGGAATATATAAAGTCGTTTTCAAATCATCCCTTAACAAAAAGCCTCTCTTCGTTTGATCATTTCTTTTAACTAGGAATAATGATGATAGTTATTGATGAATTAACTAAATGCAAAAGATATATATATAAATAAAAGAAAACTTTACATTCTTCAAATTCGATTGAAAAATTGGCGTTAGCATCGGGATTCATGGGTTCTCCTTTACTTTTTTCGAACTCTTCATTTACCATTATTTTATCTTTTTCTACTCAAAGAAAAAATGTTAATTAATTTAAGTGTAACAAAATGTCCATTTATGTTTTAGCAAACACTCTATTTTATAATGTTATCTAAAAAGAGCGCGATAGATGTAAATTTGGGTACACCAAAATAACCCCTTTATTTTGATTGGGCAGAAATATAGCTATCTTATACTAAACCGGAAATTAATTTTACCATCCATATATAGCATAATTGAAAATCCAATCATTGGCTATTGAAATCTACCAATTAAAATAATTAAAATCAAATTAAAATCACGTGATCGAACAAGAAAAATGATTTGAGATATCCTCATTAACAAAGAAAATAATTTGTCAAACAGGTTAATGCTATTTATCCATGCATATTCTACAACTTCTTAGTTGACAGATGAATTGTGTATATCATTAACAAATTTGGATGTTATGACCAAAATAAATGAAATTTAGGGTAAACTTTGGTACTAATAAAAGTTAAAGTATATAGATTACAATGAACCCTTGTTTCAACGAAGTATAATTAAATTTTTGATACAACGAATTTTTAAAAACATTGTTACACATTA